CCAGACTGGGCCTTCCTCTCCCGCTTTCACAATTTCCTGCTCTTCCTCCCCTTGCCTCTACCTGCACACAGCAACCAAAACCCCAGGAATGTCCTAGTTTCTTCCCAAACAGAATAGCACATACGGTCCCCTTTTCCCTCCAGCCCGAGTCTCAGAAGCTCCTCTGGTTGGGAAGGACATACTCAGCTCCCATCCCCACCGCTGCCACATGGCTTGGCACTCGCTCAGTCCCTTTCATTGAGACATCACAAAGCACATTAGTACAGAAATATTGATGGCTCCCCCACCCCGCCCCAGGCCCTATCTCTAGCTCTATCTGGAAAGGAGACAAGTGCTAAAGGGTAGCAGGGGCCAGCACAGGATGGGGGCAGTTGGGTTCTGGCTTTCAGTCCTCATCCTGTACCTGGACTGTCCCCCACTCAATGCATGTCCCTCCTAACCAGGTCCCAAACTAGAGAAGACCCAGCACCTAAACTAGCCCCCACAGGCACTGGAGGGGCCTGTAGCCCTTATCAGATAGTGGTTCCCAAATCAGGAATCCTGGGACACCCAGACCTCCCTTCCCTTTTCAACTGAGAAGACAGCGGGACTAGCTCTCAGGTGGCCAGGTGCTGGGGAGTTAGGGTTGAACTAGAAAAGTCTCGGAGGAAACCAAGGCCTCTGTCCTTGACTTCCCCGAGGGGGTGTCCAGACTGCAGGGCTTCCAAGAACCTTCTCATTTTGAACCAGAGTTTTCAAACTGGTAGACTCATGGCCCAAATATGACTGTTTAGTTTGGTCAGCACAGGGTTTTTCAAAAATTTGAATTTTAGTGCCGATAGGCAGGGCATGTACTCTCCTATTTGCCAGAGTCCTCACCACTCCCTATCATCTAGCACAGGGGTCTGGAACTGGTCCATGGCCTGTTAAGAACTGGGACACACAGCAGGAGGTGAGCGCAACTTCATCTGTATTTGCAGCTGCTCCCCAGCACTAGCATCACTGCCTCAGCTCCACCTCAGATCATCAGGCATAGATTCTCATAGGAGCACTGGTCCCTGGTGCCAAAAAGGTTGGGGACCGCTGATCTAGCACCTCCATTTCATTACCTGAATGCTTCTGAATTTGCAACCCATGCACCTGCCCCAGAAAACTTCCCACTGCCTGAGGTTTCTTTCAACTCCAAGCTCAGGTGAACTCTAAGGGAAGGACCTGTGGTACTTTGGCCCTTAGGAGGGCACTGGAGCTGCCAGGCAAGACCTTCCCTGGATACTCCCAGCCCCCTTGGCTCTCACCCTGAGACCTGGACATTACCCAGGCCTTGCCCTCCCTGCTCTGTTTACCCCAACTCTTAGGGGTGACACACACCTCTGTGGGTCACAAGTGTTGGAAGGGGTAAGGCAGATTTGAGGGAGACACTGGGATGAAGTGGATGAGAAGAGGGAACCAATAAAGCCTTCATTGTTGGGGAGCCCCTTGTTGGGGAGGGGTGGAGGTGTGTGCTGTTCAACCAGGGATGACAGTTACAAGGCACGTGGTACATCAGTGCGTGGAGGGGCGATGAGGGGTGTGTGGTGCCTGGAGAAGTTTGGGGGACACAGTCAGTAGCCTGGGGGATCAGTTCAAGAAAACCAGGAGGCAGAAGTCTGCCATAGGAATGGGGACATCGGTCTCCTGGGGATGAGGATACTGAGGGCAAGGCAGGGCCTGGCACATTGGGTACCCAGAGTATCTTGTTCTCTTCTGGTCCTGGCAAAGTTAAGACAGACCCAACTGTCTCTCATCTCCAGAAGAAGCCTAACTCTGCCATTGACTTCCTGTGTGATCTTGGGCAAGTCCCTGGCCCTCTCCGGGCCTCTGCATTTCTCCTTTATGGTGGACTTGGAGGACAGTTGGCTTAGGGGACGCCAAGAACCCCGCTGGGTTGTGGTTCTGGAACCTTCTCTCACTGAAGGACTCTGTAAGGATTCTGGAAAGGACTGAGCACCCAGGCTGGGGTAGGGGACCGGGAATAGGGAGCAGGAATCAGGAATCCAGGGGGTCCATTTCTGGTGAGGAAGAGACCCGCTGAGGTAGATTGTGTCACAGAAATGAAAACAAAATAACAGTTCAAATGGGATGGTGCCCTTCCCCACTCTGACTTCTCTATCCCAGTGGAACGAGGGGACTGGCAGGGACAAGATGAAGTGGAGGACAGGCTGGTGGGGAGAAGAACCTCAGGCCTGGGAGGGTGAGATTCTGAGCTCCCGGGGATGTGTGGGGGAGAGTCCTTAAGGAGACAAGCTCTTTCCTGAAGGTAAGAAGCAGGAAGAGGTGCCTGCAGCTCCCTCTGAGGGTCATTTCTGTTGCTCTCATGTCCTTGCAGGCAGAGGTTCCGAGGGAAGGTTTTATGATTGATAAGGTTTTATGTGGGGGGTGGGGATGGAATAAGGTCTAAAAATGTGGTGATGGCTTCCCTGAGAACCTCAAGCCACTCAGCACGGCCAGCTCAGTACTATTTCCTGGTTCTCTGGGTGTCTCCTGGAACACTAAGGACTCCCAGCTCCCAGGGAAGATATTTTTAACTCTTCCTTTCAGAGAGAATGGGGACGAACCAGAAGTCTAGAACTGAAGAGAACGGGGCAGCCAGATGGGCCATCCCAGGAGACTGGGGAATAAAATAACTTGTCAAGGGTGACCCTCTGTAAGATGGGTTGATAACATCTCTTTTGCAGGAATGTTTCAAATAAGGTAAAATTTAAGTGAAACAACGTGGGGTGAAAACTCCTGGAACGATCAGCCCTAGAGAAATAGTCAGGTGGATCTGGGTCCACAACCTCAATACTCCCATCTAACAAAGGGCTTCAACATGTGTGTAACTGGCCATAGAATTTGGCCTCCAAAGATGATATGGGCAGAGGACAAAGAGGATGGGTGAATGCACCAGAGGGGGTCTGGGTCAGCTTTGGGCTTCCCCCACCATCCTTCACCTTGAGGCCTGGTTCCTGAGGCTTCTTAGGGATCAGGGAAATAGGAGAGGGAAAAAAAATTCTTTGTGCATTGGTGGGAGGGATGCGCACACCATCTTGGCCTGTGTGCCGGGGTGGGTGAGGTGACTTGTGGCCTGGGTGTGATGTGTGCTTATATGTATAAGTGTATGTGTGTGGTCCTATCCCCTCTGCCTTCGGGGTCACCCTGCACCCTGAGTGTGGCCCTCTCCCCATATCCTCAGCAAACTCACTACCACCTATCACTACCTGATGGGGCAGCCAGGAGTCTGGGACTTTGTGAGATTAGATGCCACTCTGGGCCTCAATTTCCCATCTATAACTCAAAAGAAGCTGAACCAGAGAGCACTAAGTGCCCCTCTAATTTGCATAGTCTAGGATTCTCATGGTCCACCTCACCCCCAGCCCAGGTCTGCATCTGTCCTTAACATCCTCTGCTGTGCCTTTGTAGTGAATGCACTTTAGCTGGCATGGAGGAGTAGGGATATGGTGGGGGGTGTTCTAAGCCCTGCTTAAAGGCTTTGTCCCCTTACCCTACAGAACTGCCTACTCCTACTGCCTACTCCCGTACCCTATCCAGGTGGAGAGGAGGGGCCCTGGGCGAGTGGTCTCATGGGTACCCTGGGATGTTTTGGGCCATGGGAATGAACCACAAGTCCTAGAAGGTTTGGGCAAAACAAAGCACTTTTCCAGCTGCTGCCCCAGGGAATGACATCTTCAGGGTGGCTGAGAGCCAAGATTTATGTCACATTCCTAGAGCTCATTTTTTCTAGCTGGAAACCCGTTGGCAGTTGAAATGTATTGGGGGTTCTGAGGACAATTTCCTCTTGGGAAGAGGGGTGAGGACCAAAGTGGAAAGGGGCACAGAACGCCTATGAACCCCATGTCTAGAACTGGAGTACCTATTTCTAGAATATTTCTAGAGGCCCCTCCACCACCACCATGGCAGGAGTGAGAACCCCCCAGAGCATAGCAGCTGGGCTCCAGTGCATTCACCCTCATAACAGAATCCAAATCAGCGACTTCCTAGGATATTTTCTCAGCTAAGTGTTCTAGAACTTAATCCAGAACTAAGAATGTCTCTCTAGAACAGTTCCTCTGCTAAATGTGCTAGAACCTTATCTATAATTGAGTCCAGAGTATCTTCCTAGACGTATTTTCTGTTGTGTTCAAGATTTTTTCCTAGAAGAAATGTTCTAGATGCTCATCTAGAACAAAGAAAGGCTCCTGGAAACATTTCACCTGAGGTGTCTGGGACCTCATCCATAACAGAGCCCACAACAAAGAGTGTCTTTGAAGTTTACTTGGGGAACATATTCTATGCTCCGGATCGAGGGTTCCCCTTCCCCAAATCTGCTACCCCTTCATGCTTTGGCTAGCCTGAACCCCTCAGATGTCTCAGGGTTCTTCCTCCTGTCCAGCCCCAGCACTGTCAGCCCCCCACCCCCCAACTCCCCATCCTACTCTAACTCCCTCCTTTAATCCCTCTCTTGCCAAGGTTCCAGAACTTGGACCCCACGGGAACTGTACCCACCTTGTCTATGTATGCTCTCACCTCACCCCACATCTTCCACAGCCTCCTCCATCCTCAGAGACCTCTCACCACAGAGCCCACTCCTAACACCGCCTCACGAGCACAGGGCCCCAGACAGTGTTCTTTCTCTGAGGGGTCCACCAGGGGTGACGCATGGGCAACTGCAGGCAGAGAAGAGGGTATGAGGCCCCCAGCACCAGAGGTGGTATGGAGGCCTTCATGAAAATGGGGCAGCTCATGAAAAGTGTAGCACCAGTTGATTCCCCGGACCCTGGTTCGAGGGGGTATAGGAAATGGGCCACAGGGCTGAAAACAAGGCCTAGGGCTGGGGCCTCCACAAGGCTGCCCCCTCCCCTGAAAGAACCCAATGATGGGGCCACTCTACCCTTGGACCAATAGATCCACTCCCCTTTAGCCTGGTGGCCCTGAAATTCCAGGCTCAACACTGTGGTCGATATGAGGCCAGCCAAGCCCATCCATTTTTGGAGGGAGACGGTGGCCTACACCGTGGTCTCATACTCCAGCAGCTCCTGGGGTGTCCCCACGCTCCGGTACTGCAACCGGGGTGTGACAGGTGAGGAGTACTCCAGCGCCAGAATAGTCTTCCGGAGCCGGCGGTCAATAAAATGAGCATCCCACGCGGGGTACTTCTTACGAGGCAGGTCAATCCGAATGACAGGCCCCTCTGTCCGAAAGGTGCGGGTCACTGGTGCGGGAGGCAAGCCAGGCCTCACCTGGAAGACAGGTGGCGTGGGGGTCCCTGCACGCTCAGCTCCCATGGAGGCCCCATCCCGCTCAGCGCCTGTAGTCCTTGGAAGGGACCTTGGGGGACTTGTGACAGCGTCAGCTGGTGGGCCACAGGGCTCCTGGGCCTCAGGGCAGATGCATCCAGGTGCCTGGGGCCCCAGCATGGGCCCATTGGGGTGCAGGAGGCAGTAGTAGACACACATGAAGAATATGCCCAGTGCAAAGCTGGAGGCCACCACACAGACCAGGATGAGCGAGTGGAAGTCGGTGGAGAAGTTACGGCTGGAGTACCAGAAGCCCGTGAGTGCTGCGTTCTCCAGCAGGACGATGCAGTAGTAGAGGGTCATGCGGCGGCGGCTACGACCCTCCTTGACGTTGAACCAGCAGAAGATGTAGATGATGCCCACCACCATGTTGTAGATGATCTCTTCCCACTTGGACATGCAGAAGTCCGTCTCACCCTGGATGACCCAGAAGGTCATGATGCACCAATGGGCCACAATGAAGATGCCAAAGTAGAGCTTGTAGACGCTGGCGAAGAGTGCGAAGGCCAGGCTGCGGGCTGCGATGGTAAACAGGTGCCACAGCACCTGGGCCACGGCACCCTTGTAAGACAGCGGCCGCTTGTCATCACGTGAGTCCCGCAGCACCTTCTGGTAGGAGGCCAGTGTCCAGGCCAGGGACACGAGTGAGGCAGAAGTGGAGAGGGCTGTGGAGACAGGGTGGAGGTGGGGCAGGCTGGGTTAGGGGCAGGTCTGGGTCGGGGTCTGGGTAGAGGGGAGGGTTCCGGGTCAGGAGCTGGGTTCTCAGGAGGTGCGAGGGAAGGATCTGTAAATCAGGCAGGGTGAGGGGAAGGTATGGGCGGGTGATCTTCAAGAGCAATGATGGGGGAGTAAGAGTGGATGGAGCTGGGTACTTTTTCAGGGTGGGAGCAGAAAGGGAGAAGAAAGGTGAGTGATTTGGGTCTCCATATAAGAGTCAGATCTGGGTCTCTAGTACGGGGCTATTAGGGCTCAGGGGTCTTGGTGGGAGGGTAGGAAATTAGGGTCTAGGACTCTGGGAGTGGAAAAAGAGGTGAAGGGGGGTCACAGTTAGGGCATGGAGGAGCCAGGAGGGGACTATTAGAAGTTATAGGTCGCCAGGATGAGGTTGGGGTGTGGAGAAGGATATCCACGCTGAGCACAGCTGAGGGGATGGGAAGAAAATCCAGGGTGGGAAAAGTTTTGACTGGGGCAAAGGATCCCCCAGGGGACCTGTAGGTGGTGACAGAGTCTTTCAGAACACTGAGGACTGGGCAGAGTCTGGATAGGAGGAGCACGGGGAGCTCAAGGGTTTTCTCTGACATGGAAGGGGTTGGCCTGGTCTGTCGTAGTTGAGTTGGGGCTGTGTGCATGGGGACCAAGACTAGGCCTGGGAGGGGTCCCCAGAGGGCTGACGAGCAGCAAAAGAGTGGATGACAGGCTCTCTGGAAACTGATGGTGATTGGGCAGGTCTGTGAGGCAGGAGAGACAGGCTGAGATCAGGACAGTTTGGGGAATGAAGCAGGCAGGAGAGGGTCTGAGGTGTGGTGATGGGGTCAAGGGTCTCTTTGGACTTGGCAGAAATGGGGTCTGGTCTGCCCTGACAATGGGGAAAGGAGGATGGGAGGGCGGGATGGCCCAGGAGGCCTGAAAGGAAGCAAGAGGTGGAGGGGCCTGGACACTGAAGGTAAGTGGGCCATTGCAGGGGAGAGTGGGGGCTCTCCAGACGCCTGGAGGGTGGTGAGAGTAGAAGGGGCGGGGCCTCCCAAACCCTGACAGTGAGTGGAGCAGCGCAGAGGGGTGCACAGGACATCCCCGGGGGTCCTGAAGCAGGGAGAGTGGACACGTGGGGCAGTCAGAATACTGAATACTGAAGATGAGTGAGCCCAGGTTGGGGGTGGGGTTAGGGGAGCAGGGCATCCCCAGAGCCCGGCGCAGGGAGGGCGGAGGGAGCGGGGCTCACCGGGCAGCAGGTCGGGCTGGCCCCCTCGGTGCACCAAGAGGCTAAGCTGCAGCACGAGCTGCGGCGCGCTGCGCAGGAAGGTCTCCAGCAGGCGCAGCATGCTCACGTCGGCGCTCTCGAACAGCATCCGCCAGTAGAAGTGGCGCCGCAGCCGCTCCCCACGCCAGCGGCTCTGCAGTCCCAGGTACATGGCGCGCAGGTACCTACAGGAGGGACGTGGTGCTCAGGCACCCACTCCCAACCCAACCCGTGCCACTCAGCAAGCGCGAAGGGCACGTGCGGCTGTGTGTGGCCCTGGGCAAGTCACTCACTGCGCTGAGCCTATTACCTCAACAGTAGAATGGGCGTTTTGGAAGCATCACCTCCTGGGGCTGTTGTTGGAAGCTCCTAATGGGCTCTTTAAAGCCGTGACACAAAGAAAGCACTTAGTACAGCATTCTCATCATCATCATTGCTCTGGCACCATAGGGATCTGCTTTCTTTGCAGGGTTTCTGACACTTTGCAGTGCCCTAAGCTTGCCATAGCCCTGTTATGCCCAGTTTATAGATGAGAAAACAGACCCAGGGAGGTATGTCATTAGTTCAAGGTCACACGGCCAGGAAGCACGGGAACCAGGATTCAAACCCAGGCAGCCTGGCCGCAGGGCCCACATTCTAACCATTAGGCAACTCTGCCTCTCCCTCTATGCCATAAAGAGTTCACCCCCACACAGGTTCCCTCAGGAACAGTTCCTGGTGCCAGCCCCCAGTTTTGTTGTCACCAGCAGCTTTCTGGCCTCTTCCCAACCCCACCTCTCAGTGCCCAGTTCTCCCCACAGGGCACAGGGAAACTGCTTATAGATCCCCTGGCATTTGAGATTTTGCTGCTTCCTCTCTTGTCACTTCTCCGAACAAGCTTCATGGCTACAGCTACTCTGCATAGGTCACAGATTTTAGCTCACAATGCTGTCTCTCACGACTGAGCTTTTGTACCTACCTGATGTTCTCTCTGCCTAGAACACCCTGCCCTGTACCCCACCTCCACTCCAGCCCCCAGCCTGGAAAAACTCTTGTTTTTCTTCCAAGGCTCAGCTTACAAACATGACTTCTTCCAGGAAGCCTCTGCTGACCACCCTCTACCTGAGGTAGGGGCCTCTCTCAGGTTGTCCTTCAACCCAGCACTTGTCACAGTGGGTTATAACTGCCTGATCGTGCATCCATCTCCCCTGGACTGTGAACTCTTGAGGATGACTAGGTCAGCTTGCTAAGTGATGTAGCCTCAGTTCTTAGCACACAGTAGGTGCTCAATTTGTGTTGACCGAATGAATGAATGTGTGTGCATGATCGAAAGTTTTAATTGAATGAAACTCTGGTAACCCAATAGGGTATATGGAAGGGAAACTGAAAGCCTGAGTTTGATCCCTGACTTTGCTTTTTTATTTACTATGTCATCTTGAGCAAGATCCTTTCTGAGTCCTCCTTAATCCCTCCCAAAGTGGCTGTGAGGATTAAACGGATGAGAAGATATTTTGCAACTATACCCACTGGTGACAAGGGACCTGTCCACACAGGTCTCTGCCCTGGTGCCTTGCCCAGCAGCTCTACCCCTGGCAGTTGCAGTCAAAGACATTGGCTCCCAATCCCCAAATTCTCTGATTCCTGGGGCAGGCATGCCCTTTGCCGAAACTGGAGAGGGCTTCTCTGGAAGTGATCTCCCTAGAAACCAGGGAAGAAAATCCTAACAGATCTAGTGACCCTATTGCTTGAATCTGAAGTTGAAGAACCAAGGATTTCCCAGATATTTTGATCACTCGCTATGTGCCATGTCCTGTGCCCTTAAGTGTCTTGCAGTCCCGTGGAAGAGAGTCAAGAGCTGAAATATGCGCTCTAGACATTCTGTGGAACTCAGAGAAAAGATATGTAACTTTAGCTGGGGGAGGGGTCGGAGAAGACTTCTTGGAGGAAGAGGCACTTGATCTTAGTTTTAAAGCATGGGTAGGCATTTGAATCACACAGGAGGTGGAAAGGCATTCCATGTGGAAGAACCAGTTGAGGCAAAGGCATAGATGTATGAGAGAACATGGCCTTTTAAGGGAATAGCCAGTGGTTTGCCAGCCTAGAGGGGAGGGTTTTCATGGGCAGGGGCATAAGAAGACTAGAATTGTGAAGGGCATCAAATTCTGGACTGAAGAGCTTATATTTTTTTTAAATCTGAATTCTATCCCAGAATCAGGGATGATGTGATAAGCTCAGTGGCTTAGAAAGCTCGCTCTGGAGGCTGGCTTGGAGGGAAGCCAGGAGATGCTGGGGTTTGGTCCAGGCCTGAAATGACAGGGCTGAGCTAAGGCAGGGCACAGAGGAGGGGCAGAGGACAGAGCGGGAGATGGCCAGAGGTAGGGGGGCTAAGGAAGAGAACGAGATGGCCCCCAGAGCTTCTGAGGGCCCAGAACACAGGCCACCTTTCCCAGCTTCCATCTCCCCTTGACCCCATTCCTTTCCCCATTGCTGCGGCTCTGACTTTGATCAGGAAGGAGAGACCAGCTGGTCCAACGTGAAGGGGCCTGGGGAGTTGGGGGAGGGCGACACCCTGGAAGTTTCTCTCAGGCTGGAAGACCATCTGTTTCCTGGCCCTGGTCAGCATGAGGGAGGCCCCGGCCCAGCCAGCATCCATCACCACCTGACAGGCTGCCTGCCCACCTCCCCGCCCACTCCTGCCCCATCCTCTGTCAGCTCCCAACACCCCAAGCCCCCTAACTGCAGACAAAGGGCTCACCCAGCCCACAGCCCAGGACTACAGTGGGCCAGAGCAGGGAAGGGGGAGGGGAAGAAGGAAGGCCTCTAAGACCCCAAAACGTGGGATCAGTGGAAAGCGTGGAAAGATCATGTTGTCATAGTCTAGGGATGAAAGGGCTTGGGTTCGGCATCCCTCTGCCTGCTTTGGCAACAGGACCCAAAACTGTGGCTGTTCCTTCCAGCCGCACTGCATGCTCATTGCCAAGGGCCTGCGAAATTTTTATGGGCCTAGGAAAATGTTTGAGGCTTGGGGAAAAAAAATTGGCTCTGAAACACAGGGAAAAACTGAAGAATCAAAATTAATAAATGTTTAATTAAATGTCTGCAAAACAGAACATGATATCAGCCAGTCAACTGCAATTTGGCTTTTATCTGGTTATACATAATTTACATTTGATGCTTGAGATGGCTGTATTTTAATATGCTTGATAGATGAGGGGTCCACAGAGTTCTTAAAACAGCCCTGCCCAAGACATGCATCCTAATTTCCCTGAACCTTAGTCTCGCTTTCTCTAAAAAAAGGCCAGCACTTGTCCTCCTGCCTACATCACAGCCCCTAGGGGTGAGGATCAGAAAGGCAAGTTGGCAATATGCTGGGCTTGTGGGTTTGCTGCCCAGCCATGCCCTAGATGCTGTGTGGCTTTGGGTAGTCTCTCTTCCTCTCTGAGCCTCTCTGAGCTTCAAATGGTGTGAGCATTTGTAAACTGCAGAGGGATGTGCACATAGAGTGGGGGAACACATGCTTGGTAGAGGCCTCTGGCTCCTCCTTATCACCAAGCAGCCTCTCTTGAAATCTCTTCCAGGAAGCCTGCCCCATTCTACTCTATTTGAAAGAAAGTTGGAAGAAGTTGATCTTCACCATAAACAGGACTGATACCACCCACGGAGAAGGATGCTCCATCTCAGGGAAAGGAATCCGGCCTTGGGAGGATGTATCTGCTTTCCCCCGAAACGCATCCCCAGTCCATTCATTTTCTGCACTGCCACCACCCTGGTCCAGGCCACTGTCATCTTTTGCCTTCTTGGTGGGCTCCCTGTATCCACAGGGCTCCCTGTATCCACATGGCAACTTGAAAGGTAATTTTAAAACCTGTCAAATCATGTCATTCCCCTTCTCAAAACCTTCAAAGGGCCACCCATCACACTTGGAACAAAATCTAAGCTTCTCCCCTTGGCTTGCAGGCCCTGAACCATCTGGCTGTGCTTGTTTCTCTCTCTCTCTCTCTAACCACTGTTTCATTTGTTCCCTGCACTTCAGATACCCTGAGAGTTCCTCAAACCCAGCCAAACTTGTTCTTGACTCAAGACCTTTACGCTTGCTACTTGCTCTGTCTGCAACGCCCTTTCCCCAAATCCTTCTGTGGCTGGCTTCTCATGGGCTCCTCGTTACCTTCCGAGAGTCCTCCTAGGTAACCCATCCTATGTCGGCCCCTCCTCCCTCGCCAAATCTCTCTTGTCCATCACATTGCCCTCTCTTGTTTTCTTCTTCACATCCACTATGAAACTTTATTAATTTACACATTTATTTTCTATTTTACCACTATGGCTCAATGAAGGTAGGAACTTTGTCTTGGTCACCACTGTATCCCTGGCATTAGCACATCTAGTAGGCACTCAATAAATTTGTCGAATGAATAAATATGAATGCGTGCATGTGTCTCCCTCCTGACCTTGGAGGCCCTGGAGCTTTCTGCCTGAGTCTGCATAGAGCTAGGACACCTCGCAGGCAACTCCTGTCCCCAATGACTCATTCTGTCTTTCCTTCTCCAAGAAGATTTCTCTGATGTCCTTCAGCCCGGCTAAGCCTGCCCAGCTTTGACGGCCCCAGCCTTAAGCTGCCTAAGGCCAGGCTGAGCCAGAACCGAACAGACAGCTTCTACCGGCCTCCTTTTACAGGAAACAGGAGCTCAGAGGTCTATTTTCAATCTAATTTGCCGACTCCCAGTTTTGTGCTCAGAGAGGAAGCATGTTTGAGAGGAAACTGGAAGAGCAGATAGTGTGTATTGTTGAGAGAGGGGTTGGGAGGAAAAAGAAAAAAACAAGTCTAGAGAGGAGAGAAGCTGGAAGTTGGGGTGTGAAATTCCTCCACTCGAGGATCCAGAAAGCCGTCCCTTCTGGACTCCATTGCCTCTGCGAGCAGGCAGCAGGGTCAAAAAATGGAGAAAGCTCATTGTCTTCTCCCAGGCCTGGCTGCCTTTGTGACCCAGGGACCTCTCAGCATCCCCCCGAGTTGGGAGGCTCCTCTCAAATGGGGAAGGATAAGGGGATCCCACATCCCTGAGAAGACAGAATGTTTCCAGGACGAGCATCTGGGTCATTCTTTCTCTCCTGTTCTTTTGTCCATGGGTCACCCTAAGTCTCTGGTACTAGGTCAGAGTTCCTGGCCAGGGCTTCAGTCCCCATGCAGATAGTCAGACCTAGGCCTGAGCCT